TTTTGCTGGAAACATCCTGGGCTGACAATTTTTTGCTTTTAGAATCTGGAATATGTTGCTCCATTCTCTTCTGGCTTGTAGAGTTTCCTGTGACAGATTAGCTGTGAATTTAATTGCCATTCCTCCATACGTCAATTGATTTTTTTCACATGCACATTTTTATTATTAATATATATATAATATTTTATTAATTACATTGCAGTATGTGACAGTTTCATAGGCTCTGGGGATCACCCAACCCCTCCCCGTACCCTCCCCCCATGGTGAATTCCTCCTCCTTGTTACTGTATTATATTTCAAATTCAGTCAAGATTCTTTCATTGCAAGAGTATACCAAGTATAGAGTCCAGCATCTTATTGTCCAGGTAAATTCAACAGTTTCTTGTGGAGACCATCTCTGGTCTGAAGGCAGAGCTGGCAGAATATCATCCCGATCAAGTTAAAACCACAACATAACATCAACCACAATTTACAGCATTATGGAATTAATTGACATGGTATTGAGTAACCAATATGTTAAAAAAAATGCAAGTTCTTAACCACATCCTGTGACTACTTCATTGACATTTCAATTTTGGTTTATACACTGAACCGGCTGCTATATACCTTAAAATGGCTATAGGGTACTATTCTGCTGTCTCATGTCTGTTTCATTTTAGTATTTAGCAGTTTATAGTGTTGAAGTACAATTTTGCTGAACTTGGCAAATTTTAGGATAGTCTAAACTCTAACAAGGCATATGTCAACCATTGAGGTGCAGAACAGTTTTAGGAGGGGTTTAATGAGGAGTAATTAATATTTGTGTCCTTCCTACTAAGGTATGTGTGAGTCCATGCTGACCATTTCTTGTCTGGTTCTAAGCTTTCCTTGTTGTTCTCTGCCTATGTATTCCAGTGTGTGTGTGTGTGTGTGTGTGTGTGTGTGTGTGTGTGTGTGTGTGTATGTGTGTGTGTGTGATGTGCACATTTTCTTAATAAGACTTATTTTACTTTTATTGCATAGTCAGATATACAGAGAGGAGAGACAGAGAGGAAGATCTTCCGTCTGATGATTCACTCCCCAAGTGACTGCAAGGGCTGGTGCTGCACCAATCTGAAGCCAGGAGCCAGGAACTTCTTCCAGGTCTCCCACGTGGGTGCAGGGTTCCAAAGCATTGGGCCGTTCTCGACTGCCTTCCCAGGCCACAAGCAGGGAGCTGGATGGGAAGTGGAGCCACCAGGATTAGAACCGGTGCCAATATGGGATCCTGGCACGTTCAAGGCAAGGATTTTAGCCAATAGGCCATGCTGTCGGGCCCTTTCACATGCACATTTAAGGATCTTTTTCTTATGTTCAGTTGAAGAGAGCTTGATTATCATGTGTTGTGGTGAAGATTGCTTTTGGTCAACCTTGTTGGGAGTTCTGTGCCCCTCCTGGATATTGTTTCCCAATTCTTTCTCTAGAATAGGGAAGTTTTCCTGTATTATTCCATTTTAAAACCCAGTGTCTCTTTCTGCACCTTCTGGAACTCCCATAACTCTTATATTTGGCCTTTTAATAATGTGTCTTGATTCTTGAGTACTTTTTTCAGCTTGACCCAGCTGTGCTTCCAGATTTTTGATTGTTTCACTATTGTGGCAAGAAATGTCTTCCAATTTTGAGATTCTTCCTTTTGCATTCTTCATTCTATTATTGTGACTTTCCATTGAGTGTTTAATTTGCTTTATTCTGTCCTTCATTTTCAATAATCTGGCTTGATTTTGTTTCAGTGTTGTTATTTGGTGTGTGGCTTATTCCTTAAAATCCTGCATGTGCTTCTCATTGTTTATAAGAAGCGTTATAACAGGTGTTTTGAATTCTGTATCCCCCGTTTTCTTGATGTCTTCCTCAGTGACCCTGAGGTTGGCATAGGCTTTTGCTCCTTTGCAGGGGAGCGTTCAGTAATATTCATTGTGCCTTTATCTCTTTTGCTGTTGGTCATTGTATTTCTGGTAGCAGATTCTTCTCTTTAGGGTACATTTCCAAGCTGTGTCACCCACAGGTCTGCAATTTTACTTACTTTGGTTGGCACGTGGTTCTTTGTTTGCATTCAGTTTTGCCTCTCCCTCCAGTGAATTTCAAATCTATGCTCTTATGTTAGACTTTCACTGTGGTCTCCATAGCCCAGCTCCTGGCTCAGCACTCTACCTCCTGTGATTCCACTCTGTTGCAATGTTGTCTATGCAATATTTCTCATAGTTCTGGTTCGTGCAGTTTCCAGGATTAGGGAGACATCAGAAGTCTTGACTAGCTAGTTTGTTGGCAGTGCTGATCTTTTTGGAATCTGCTAGCTGTTATGTGTGAGGGCAGCCTGGACCTATTTTGAGTCATAAGATGCCAAAGTCTGTGTTATTTTTAATGTGGGACCAGTGCAATGCCCTGAGCTCAATGAGTTCACTGCCAGTTCAGCACATACACAGCTCACTGTTTTCTTTGCAATCTCAAAGTCTTTGCCACACTGTAAGAAATGCCGCACGATGTGCCACTACTAGAGTTCTTGATCTGCTAGTCCTCAGGTCTGAGGGCTAGTAGGACCTATCTTAGATGGAACCTGTTGGATACCAAATTGTTGCAGTTCACTGAGTCAGAAATGAGTTCACTCCCAGCACAGTGCATGCGCAGTCCTGCCCCATATCCACTGTTGCAGTTAACTGAGTTAGAAATGAGTTCACTGCTGGTATGTGCTTGCAATGAAGGAATCTCAACTGAACTTGAACTGTGGTTATGCAGCAAGGTGGAGGAATCCACTAAGAGGGGAGGGGTGTGGGAGGGGTGGGGGGAATCCCCAGTGCCTATAAAACTGTATCACATAATACAATGTTAATAACAATAAAAAAAAAGAAAAAAATGAGTTCATTTCCAGCACAATGCATGTGCAGTCCTGTCCCATATCCATTGCTTCTTTACACAAGATGGCATCTGATTCAGTTCTACTGGAGGGTTGGGTTGTGAAATCCACCCTGTTCCCACACCACCTGTTTGGGGTCTGCTGTTTGGTGTCTGCTCCTGGTCAAATTAAACAAACCAGTGGCATGGGCAGTTCTTTGTCAGGGTTCATATCCTTAGTTCTCAGTAAACACCTCTTTCTACCTGGTTGCTGGTATACAACCAGTTGCTGGTATACAACCAGTTGCTGGTATACAGTTTCGGCCACCTGTATAGTTCAGATCACTGCTTGTTGAATTCCCTGGCACATGGGGTCAGTGCCACACCACACCATTTTCTCCGCTGCTTTCCTGTGTCCATCAGTCTCCAGGTACCCGTCTGCTGTTATTCTGTTTCTCCTATTTCCTGAAATGTGACCTCTCCACTTCACCCTGGCTAATGTTTCTCTGCCTGTTTAAATGTGTCCTCACTCTATTTTGCCATCTTGAGCCTGTCTATGGATATTATAAAAAGAAAATAAACCAGCTCTTAATCAAGTTTGTAAATAATACGTGTATATTTTTACCTTGTTGAAAGATCTTTAAAACATTGATCCTCTGTAGAGTTGATGGAGAAAATAAATGTTTGGGCGGAGGGGGAGGGACCGTTTTTATTTAATTATATTATTAAAACAACTTTTTAGCATTCAGTGATATGAACTCTCTTATATCTAACCCGTCTTCTATTCTTAAAATATCAGAATCAAATTCAAAAGGATGGCCTGGACCACTGACGCCCTTTGCCCTGTGTCCTTGCCTAATCTCTGTGGCGAAGTAGGTTAATCTATCTTGCTACTACTGTGAAAAGATCTGGGAGCTCCAGGATTTCTCATTGTCTGAGTCAGCCATTCCTTCGTCCTCCCTGGAATTTACATTGGAAAAGAATGATTGATGCTAGTAGGTAATTTTATTCACATTTCTTCATTGTTTTAGAAGGCTGAAGTTGAGTAATGATGTAACCTTTCACATCAGCAAGCCTATTTAACCCTACATTTGGTTTATTTAAATTAATACCATCCGGTTGTTGCCTTTTTTGAGTCTCTTGAATCTTTGAACTTTACTTCCTCTTTGTTCCTGATAAACCCAGGGTATGCCCTACCATCCTGCTCAGTCTCTTTTGCACATCACAATTATACTTTGATTTCAGAAAAGACATTCTTGTACGTTTTCAAAAATCTCCACCCAGTACTCACTGATTGTCATGAAACAGACTGGTCGACATCACCAGTTACAGGATAAAGGAAAGATAAATCAGTGGGAGTTGTGTCTGTCTAGAAATTTCATTTTTGACCCTAAGTGTTAGGAGTCCTGGCGGTCACCTACTGCTTTGTACTTTAATTCCTTGTGTGATGCTAGTGCCAAATCTGTTCTGCTTGGGTGGCCAGCTTGCTTTGGCCTTCGGTGTTACTATGGGAACACTGAGCTTCCAGGTATTCATGTGGGTGGTGTGAGGAACTGGAAATGTTGCCAAAGTTTTCTTGGTGTCCCATAACCACCTTGAGATCTGATTTGGGGCTGTCATGCGGAGCAGTGAGGACTGTGTACTGGAGGTAGCAATCCATCAACTCTCAGGATTTCTGATAGAGTTTTGAACCTAGAAAACAAATGTAATCTCAGAGAACATGTTCCAACTTTAACTCCTCAGAGTAAAAAAAAAAATGAATTCTTTTATGTTGCACTGATATATAAAATAGTTTTTATGACTATGGAAATAGCACATTATTTATTGTATCTTATATATTATTTATATTTATGCAGAAAATTCAAAAGCAGATAAAATACAGAAATTAAAACATATTGTGTTCCGTTTAACATGTCTGCTGTGACACTGGTACATCAACCTCCAACAGATGCTGGTGAAGCTCCATGAGCTTTCAGTGATCCTTAACGACCCGATTAGATGTTTTCTTGAACAATGAACAATAAGACTTTTTAATTGGTGTTTTATACAGACCTGTAGGCTCTGGTATCCCCATGATGCTACTCTTCACTTCTTAATTGACATAATCATTAAACCTGGACTGCAACCAGTGTCAATCTCTTGATCCTTTCTTGAATGAACCACTCATGAACCTCTTTGCGTGTCGTCCATGCACAGGAGTCATGCCAGTCTTCTCTGTATCACTCCAACTTTAGTGTATGTGCTGCCAAAGCAAGCACTCATGAACTTCTTTGTCAGTGTGTGTTTTCTTGGTGGTTAGGAAATACTAATTGAATTTTGTACTTTCTCTCATAAACATTTCAGATTTTGGTTCTGTTTGTTTTATTGTTTGAAACCAATAATATTAAAGGGATTAATTAGGAAGCTTTTGGTGCCATGTAAAAGACATCCAAAGCCAGGTGAGATGGAGGCTCTCTGGAAAGTACTAGCTCAGTGAGAACTGAGATATGAGACCTGAAGTACTGGTTAGTTCTTACTAACTCTGACAGTAAGTAACTCATCTAATGTCTATTTCCCTTGAGTAGGAATAAATAAAACACCTATTCCTGCTTGTTGCTGTTTTTTCTAATGAAGTAAGTATTAGCCAGTCATCAGCTTGTGCTGTTCTTATCATCCTGTATGTCTGTAATAAGCAAATTGTGATAAGTCTATTCCTTCATTTTCCGTGTTTTTGGAGGTATATCGGTTCACACTGCTCACATGTCATTTGAAAGAACCTGTTCTGAGCAGCCCGGGTATGTGTTTCTAGAATAAACACCTCCATTCTTAAATTCAGTGTGTTTCAACTTGCTTTCTGGATTGTCAAGCACATTGAGTTGGTCGACTGGATGGGTACCCTTGCCCAGACTTTTCAGACTTGACTTGGAAACTGTAACTTACTTCTGTTTCTTTGAAGTTAGCTAGAACTGGCTGTTGAAATGTATTTCCTCAGTTTGCATGTTTACCTGTTTCTACAGGTGTGGCTTGATTTTTTTATGATACTGAGTAAAATTCACAAGACTTCTCAGTCTGAGCCTCATATGGTATATACTTTTCCAAGCTCATCAAAATTTGGAGTCTCAAGTGTTATTTTATAATCACTTTATTTGAGCTTGTTAAATCAATCTACATTTTTCCTATTAGCTTTGATTAAAAAACAGATTGATTTCTATTTTTCAGTATGTATTGTAATTACTAGCACCATGAACCATAGGTCCAGGGTCTCTTCTGTTTTTGTATGGAAAATACTGCCAATGTACCACTGCTTACTGCTCCAGGGTTTAGATTCCTCATTGGGAAAGAAAATACACATTCTTTTTTCTTTTAGGATTTATTTATTTTTATTGGAAATGTAGATTTACAGAGAGAATAGGAAACACACATTGTCACACATGAATTGTTAGGACTGAAAAATAGATGAATGTTAGAAAGCATTAATTCACAGTGGATGCACACTTGAGGGTTAAGATTAATGCATTCTGTGACTTTTCATTTTCTGTTTTTTTTTTAGATTTATTTTTTTAAAATTTCTTTTTTTTATTATATTTTGACAATCTTCACATAGTTAATTAGGGTAAAAAGGTTCAAGGGTTACAGGAAAGTGAGTAAGACTATTGTTTTTTCCATATTGTTTCCTTCATGTTTAAAGAGGGGTATTAAGGGAGAAGGCCCACCCAATTTCCCACCCTCCCCAGGTCCCGGATGTAGGGCATGCTCTGAGGTTCTTGCTCAAGTGGTTTTGATATTTTAACAGTTATGAATTGCTGCCAATCTTGCCACTCCAAGCACTGTGAGGTCTTTGAAGAATCCACTGATTGACATAGTCCATCATAGAGTCTCTGTTTGCCCCGTATTTCGCTGCCAACATATAGCTGAGATGGTTGGTTGACCTGTTCTGTCTTCTCTCTTTTCTTGGTTAGGGTTCTGAGTCTAGCATTTTGATTGGGGAGATCTCCAAAGAAACTTTGTCTGAGGTGTTCTCAAACCAGATTCTTGTATGTGCTAGCAAGTACAGGCCCAGCATGGTCCATCGCCAGATCAGCTGGTGGTTGCAATTTTGTTATTTTTTGAAAAGGTGTTTATAACAAATGTGTCTGGGCCTGCCCAGGCACAAGGAACTTAGTCCAGGTCTCCCATGTGGCTTACAAGAACCAAAGTATTAGCATTTGAGCCTGCCAGGGTCTGCATTCCCAGGAAGCTACAGTCAACAGCTGGAGTGAGAACTTGAACCTAAATATGACAATATGTGAAAAGGACTTCTGAACTGTAAGACTGAACACCCTGCCCCCAACACACACCATTATCATTTAGATATTTATTATAAATTATTCTTAGAGGAACTGGCAAAGCTCCAGGAATTTGGGAGTAGATTAAAAGTTAATGTAGGATTTGTATTTACAGGGTTTTTATAGTTCAAGATTCGCAGGACTTTGCAAAAGCTTTGGAATCTGCTGTGAGGAAAAGGCTATAACCAAATTTTCCATGAGAAAGATAGAAGAGCCATCTATTGAGATAATTTTTCATTACACCAAGAAAACTTAGTATTTATAATGCCAATGTAGTAGGATACTGATAGGAAGTAACCATATATTGATGATGATGATGGTGATGATACATAACATATTTTTGTTATGTACTGTTATGTCAGGCACTATTCCAAGGGCTTTGTATGTATTATTTTTCATTCTTACACTAGCCTAACTAGGGAAATTCTATTGTTGCCATGTGGGAGTATACTTAACATATATTTTTACTTTTTTTTATTGTGGTAAATATGCATAACATAAAGCTTGCCAGTCTCTCTCACTTTGTAGCCCAGGGAACCATCATTCTTTCTGTTTCTATGAATTCGAATAGTCTAGGAACCGGATAAAAATGAAGTCATACATTTGTCCTTTTGTGCCTGAATTATTTCACTTAGCATCTGCTCCTCATGTTCAGCCATGTTGGGTTATGTGTCAGCATTTCACTCCATATAACTAGGTATGTGCATTTATACACACATTGTATTTATCTGTTTATAGACACTTGCGTTGCTTCCACTTTTTAGCTATTAAGAGTACTTGTTCTAGGAACAATGAACTTATACATTTTTACAATCTTTGCTTTAAGCTAATTTTAGGGCAGAAAATATTTGCTAAAATAAGGTGAAGGAGAATTGGATATTGAGAAGCGGGGACTAAGTGTCCTTTTGGGATGGTTCTAGTAATGGGACAAACTGAGCTTGGGTTCTTGAAACCTGGATGATGGTGGGTCATTCAACAGTGGGTTATTCGCCATGTTAATCTATTGCTATGCTGAATCTGCTGTCTCTGGGAGAACAACAATATAACAGAACCTACAGTTTCCATTAGGGTGTGTTTTGGGAAGAGTGGCATATGAGCCTAATGGCAAAAAATTTCTGATTATTCTTGCAGCTTCTTACAGAAGAGATCAATTTGGACAATAGTGTTAAAACTGACCAAATGGCTCCATTCTGTAGCTTATATTTTGACCAGCATTGCAAAAGAAAATAGGCTTTGTTTGTTTGTTTAGAACAGTGCAGTCTAAAGATATTATTAATATTTAAGGATATCAATCAGCTCTGAGTTCATGGGGATAGATGGGAAGTTATCCATGGTTGAAAAACGCCTTTTATTACCCAGGGAGAGAAAATGAAGACAAAGAAAGGCTGGGTCGTGGCAACTAACAATGTTGGTTTTGGAATCCAGAGGGTCTTGACTGTGCTCTTTGGTGCCTCCAGCAACCCCAAGGACCTCTTTGCAGATCTCTTCATACCTGTGTCCTATATCTCAAATGTCAGTTATAGGGTCTGAATGCCCTTGAGTCCCTGTATTCTTCTGAGACATCTGAGATCCCTGGGGCTTTACGTTGAGGGCTAAGATTTAATTGTCTGTGGCAGGATTTCATTGGCTGTTTATAAGTGGAAGAATTTAGGGTGGGGTTTGAGTATCATCCATTTCCTTGTCCTTTTATGGAAATCTCAGAAGTATCATGGCATCAGGTGTACGATGGGAATATGAATGTCAGCTATGTTGTAAATACCATATAATTGGCCTGGCGTCATAGTGTAGTGGTTAAAGTCCTCGCCTTGAACGCACCCGGGATCCCATATGGGCACCAGCTCTAATCCCAGCAGCTCCACTTCCCATCCAGCTCCCTGTGTATGGCCTGGGAAAGCAGTCAAGGGTGGCCCAAAGCCTTGGGACCCTGCACCCGTGTAGGAGACCTGAAGAAGGTTCCTGGCTCCTGGCTTCAGATCGGCATAGCACAGGCCATTGCGGTCACTTGGGGAATGAATCATCGGACGGAAGATCTTCCTCTCTGTCTCTCCTCTCTGTATATCTGACTTTGTAATGAAAGTAAATAAATCTTTAAAAAAAAAAAAGACCATAGCATGAGTTGAAAGTTTTTACAGGGATATCTATGGGAGCCATTTTGGTTATTTTTGACTGGTGCTGGTTTTAGGCAGTGGTTGCTCATAAGTTGCAGTTTTCTGCTGCATGGAAAGGTGGAGGGCTTTGCGCATTGCAGGCCAGGCTGCAGTGCAGGTCAGGTTTCAAGAAGGGACCAGAAACCTCTGTTCTTCCTTGTCAGCTTTCTCCTTACCTACATCAATCTCTTTGCTTGTTTTCCTCTTTATTCTAGCTTTTCTGCTGTTTTTGTTAGAGAAAACGTACTTCCCTTTTTCTTGATATAAATTGATGGAAAGCCCACCTTTCTCCATGTTTTTGTCATTTGTCTTGCTAACATTGTACTTCACCATACACGAAAGTTTAAGGTCCCACAATTAGTAATTTTTTTGCATTCTTTTCTGGCTCTATCTTTTGTTATAATTAAATTTAATTGAGTTGTCATGTTTAACATGATTATCTCCATTCTGTGATTATTCAAAATTGTTCCATGTGTTTTTCTTCCTTTCCATAATTTCCTTTTTTTTAAATTCAGAAGTTTCTGGTACTTATTTTGGTGTAAGAAACCATGGTAGGAGTATGTTATGGGTGATATGGTGCCCACTATGATTCATGTGTTTAAATCCTAGTCTAACCATTCAAATGTGATCATATTGGGAGTAGTTATAATTATAGAAGTAATTAATCAAGATGAGGACATGTTGGAAGAGAAAAGGCATGTAATCCTTATTAGCAGAAAATAGATAGGTGATATAATAGATAGGTGATATAATAGGCTAATCATCCTCCTGCCAGCACCTGATGTTAGAAAATCTGTCTCTCCTCTC